TCATTTCCTGTCATCCAAAGGTACAAAATACTGAAAATGTTCGCACCTCAGTGCCAACCATGGTGGCGTTAACATGGTCTGGACTCTATCTTTCAGCACCCCCCTTCCTTCAAATGAATTGACCACATCTGTAACACATTTTATGATGATGTGAATCCTGCCTTTAGAGAAAAATATTTTTTGGGCGGTATATACCGTATTGTCTCTAATAAATGCCCCCTGATTTTTTTTTTCATTTGCCAATTAAATTTTCATGTGTGCACAATCAATTTAAACAAAGATGAACAGAGATTTCATATGTTTAGGATGGATAACCATTATTTACAAATATTAAAATAAACGAAATTTCAACTTTATCAGCCGATATACTGTAAGTAACAAACAACTGGAAAATATGCTTCTGGCTAAATCACAATGTATTACCTAGGGAAAGAGTTGTTCGAACAGATACTATATTCCGTAATAATTGGCCAAAAAACACCATCTTAGGTCTCTGTTTTGGCCTTTTTTAACATCCTGATTTACAAAATCGTTGGGAAAAACTCGACGTCGGGGATATACAGTACCATTCGTCGTCAATCAGTAGAAAATTCAAAATTATTGAGTGGTAAAATAATCGAACTCTCCTTTTGTCCACTGCTACGTCAACTCATAGGTACACTTCCATTTTTCCCTCTTCACTCTCTTTAACTCATTCTCAATTTTTTTTCTTCCTCTTTTTATTTTTCGGCGAGACTGACCGGGCACGGGCCCATATACACCCCCCCTGATCTGCCCCTGCTAAGTCATCACTACTCATTGTGTGAAGCATGCAACCATCACGCGTGGATTCCAGTCAATTCACCCCTAACAAACTCGCCCTCTGCTATCCCGCCCCTTAACAAACTCTCCCCTTCAAATTCGCCCCTTACAAACTCACCCCCTAACAAAGTCGCTCCCAACTATATACAGTCACCCCTACTCATCCCACTATCAAACTTTCCCTTTAACAAACTTTCCCTCTAACAAACTTTCCCCCTAACAAATGTACTACGGTAGTATTGTAGTTGTCATGTGGAAACAGTGATGTTGAACGTTTTTTTTTATATTGTTTCTGTCATTAAATTACCGTATATAATGACTAGCATGAAAATAAACAAAACATCATAAACATTTATTACATCTTATATCATGGGAATTAATGTATATTCATTATTATGACTTACCGACAGAAACGATATTAAAAATCTGACAGACGGCGTCCAATTTTCACCACGATTGCGTTTATGGTCGGTGTTTATAGGCCGCACCCCAAAATTTTGGGTAGAAATCACTTATAAACAAAGAAACAACTGATTGAACGCTTAAAGGAGGGGTGCGGGGATAAAATAATTAATTATTAATTTAAAATAGAGCGACCACAACCACGGTGACGGCACTCGATTTTGGAGCACGGTATTCGAAAACGAGGCTCGTGAACTGGGTCCCAAAAAAAACTGGTGCTACAGAATTTTGAGCTAGTGTTATAAGATAGGGAATTTCCTAAAATGTACCGACTTTCAAAGGCTTGCATTCGGTAACCCCATAAAAAATCGTGTCAAACTTTAGATATTCCAATGTAAATTTGGCCGTTCTT